CCCTCAGCAGCAGTCACCATTGCTGTCCCACCAGCAAAGCACTGACCGTCCCTCACCCTGGCCCAGCGTGCCTTCTCTCTCCCCCTTTGCCCTCATCCTCACCTTTCCCTTCTCTCTCCCCATCTGGATGCTGCAGATTGATGGTCAGCTTTCAAGGGCTGGTTCTGAGGTTTGTCTTTGTCTGACTGTTTGGTTCCCCTATGTTCCACAGATAGACGCGACACCAGCCAGTGTTTATCTTTCTCTTTCTGGCTGGGTTCACTTAGCATAATTCCTCCCAGTTCAGTCCATGTAGCAGCAGATGGCAAGAGTTTGTCTTTTTTGATGACTGAGTGGTATTCCACAGTGCATATATGCCACCCCCGTGGAGAAATCAAATAATGTCCAAAAATAAACAGTGAATGAGAAAATAAGTTAATTAATTAAAAAATTAAAATAAACACAATGTTTAAAAAAGATTTATTTATTTATTCATACAGAACTGGGGTACAGGCCAGAGATGCGGAGGGTGAGAGGATTCACCAGAGACAGAGTGGGGAGCAGAACAGGCAGATTGACGAGGTCCACTGCTGACGGGAGCAGCGGGCGGGTCAGGAGAGGTCTGCCACGCCATGCGGATCTCCTCGGGGGCAGGCGGGGATCAAACTCATACGGAAGTGGCTTAAGCTTCCCAGTGCAGTGCCTTAACCCACTGCGCCACCAGGGAGGGCCAGCTTTAGCTTCTTAATGTTGCACTTTAACCCACTGCACCACGAGGGAGGGCCAACACAAAAATTTTGCAAAAGAGAGGTCCTTCTCAAAGATGGGGTATAAATATTTCTTTTTACTGACAGTTGCAAGGAAGCCTGGGAGCAAACACCATCAGCACCTTAGCTGCTGGAGCAGGGATTATCATCCTGATCATCAACCTGAAGCGGAACTCTGCTTATATCAACAAGTGCCAGGGAATTGAGTCAGACGACACCTGCTTCTTGGCTCCTTTTTCCACTGTATGTATTTCTTGGTAGGGAGCCAAGATTCGAGATCCTTACTAAAGTGAGGAGCCTTCTTTTCTTTCCCCATGAACGCTGTTCTTTTTTGCCACCTGTCTCTATAATGTACTACACGGTTAAAGTGCAGAGATGCCAGCTGCCAGCCTTCGTGCTTCTGCACCCCCACCAGCCTAATTCTGCAAGATCATCTGCCTTGAGTTACCATCTCCTGGTCTCCTGTGTGTGTGGTTTTATAAAGACTAATCGCATGGGGGTTGATAGCAGGAGCCATGCTGAAAGAATGCACTTTGGGGAGACCTACCATGTGCGATAACTGGCTTTTCTGATTGTCACTGGTTGTTGTTCAACAGGAAATTGTGGCCATAATTCTGTTTCTCACCATTCTGGAGTTTTGCAGTGCTGTGTTGCTCATAGTCTATGGTGTTGGAGAACTACTGGAAAGGAAAAAGGTAGGTAGAAGTTTGGTGCTCTACCCTGAATTGCGAGCTAATGAGTTTGAGCTTTATCACTTCAAAATAGGACCTAGATTTCCTGGAATATTTTTTTCCAGGAAAGCATTTCTCCAAATTTCAGGATTTTGGTTTCCAAACCTCTTATTTTAAAGACATTTTCTATTCAGAAGCAGCAGCATTTTTGTAGTGAATCCTTGCAATTGAGAGTTAGGAAAATGGGATCTTTGTAATTTAGAAAATGCAAATGCTTCAGAGTTTGCTGTACAGGAGAGCTGAGTGTGCAGTGAGCCTGTGATGGAAACATCCACGTACGGTCCTTACTTTCTGCCCCAGAATTGCTCCCCAAACATTGTGTTTGTTCCCTCTTTTTTTTTTCTTGACTCTCACTTCGCCTTTGCCCTGAAACCTCAATTTCCTTTCCTCTTACTTCGTAACTGCCTTACCCACTCATTACACTTTTGATGTAGGAGAAAGAATGATTGGTACTTAAATGCACATAAACTTGAATCTTACAGATAAACACATTCTCTCCATTTGCCCATTCAAGTCTGCCTGCCTGTTTTGATCCCTTTCCTCCAAAGATATCAAAAGATAGCAGGTACTGAGGTTGAGGCATAACTTAGTCTTACCAATTTGTCTCTGACTGACATCATTTCTTTAGGCCATTAGACAGCAAATCTGGCCTGGTTTGTTGGAGATGGTGGGAGTAATTGTGTGTAATGGGAGAAGGTGTGAAATTCAGGAAGAAAGGAGATGAGACGCATCTCCTGAAAAACTTCTGGTGGTGGAAAATTTGCGGTGATTGATATTAAATATTTTCCTCCTCAGATTCCAGAAGATCGTCTTTATGAAGAACTAAACATATATTCACCAATTTACACTGAGTTGGAAGACAGAGGGAATAAACTCTCTCCCACTGAGTCTTGAGAATTATGAGCCTAGAACATTTTCATTCATAGCAAAGGGTCCAGAAAACCAAGATTGTGTTTAAGAAGCTACTGGAAAATTTTCTGTTCTTTTTACAATCTGCGGCTTTCACATTATGATTTATTCTACTGAAGACAATATACTGTTTTGTTGTTTCTGTTCATCTAGCCCTCTCTCCCCCCACATTTATAGCTATGATAGAATTTTGCCTTTTTTGTTTTCTGTTGCTGTCTTCTGGGAAGTTTGCATGTATTATGTGGTTACTTACTGTGTGTTAACGCTGAGCAAATAAGATAAACAGAGAGGTGGCTTGAGGGTTGAGTCAAACTTTGATAATCTGGTGTTATTTCTTCCTTCATGCCCTCTTTCAGAAGTTCACAAGAGCTGGAGATGTACATGAGATCTATACTATTAAGATCTTGAGGCAAAGCCCATTTTGCAACCGATTAAGCATTTGAAGTTCTCTGCATGTGCCTCCTTCACTCTGCGATGCCAATACATTACATATGTATTGTATAGAAAGTGCCTTGACTCTCAGTCTATTCATAACATGCATCCCCTCAAAATCATTTCTTTCAGGATAAAGAGACTAAGAGAACAAACCTATAGACCCAGAATACTAGCAAGAGCACTTAAATAAAAATTTTAAAAAGATCTAGCCAATCATCATTTTAATGTGCTACCATATATAGTCACTATCCCCACAATCAATGCAGTAAATAAATCCACCGCTCATAAAGTCTCCGTGTGCTTATTTATGGTGTTTCTCACCTAAGAGGATCACTGTTCTGTTTTTCATATCTATTCATTTGCATTTTCTGGAATTTACATAAATTGAGTTGTAAAGTATGTGCTTTTAAATGTTGGCTTTCTCACATCCAACTGATTTTGATGGCTCCTGTGTTTTTCACGTACAGGGTAGGATGCCCTGGTCTGGATGTACCTCAGTTTACTTATTAATGGGCTTTTGGAGTGTCTGCAGTTTTGGGCTATGACAAGTGAAGCTATTATGAACATTCTGTACCAGTCCTTACATGGACACAGCTTTGATTTCTCCTAGGTAAGTAGTAGTGGAAAGGCTGAGTTATATGGAAGATGCTTAACATTTTTTTAAAAAGATTTATTTATTTATGCATTCAAGAACTGGGGTGCAGGCCAGTGGTTCAGGGGGGGTGAGAGGATTCACCAGAGACAAAGCGGAGAGCAGAACAGGCAGATCTACTGAAACACACTGCTGAGGGGAGCAGATCTACTGAAATACACTGCTGAGGGGAGCAGAGGGGAGACAGGAGAGGTCTGCCGCGCCATGTGGATCACTCCCTGGCCGGGGATTGAACTCGTGCTGTGGTGACTTCGGATAACTTCATAAAGCTGCACTTTAACCATTGCACCACCAGGGAGGGCCCAGGTGTTTACATTTAAGAAACTGGCAAATAGTTTCCAAAATGATGGCTCCATCCTATCTTCCCACCAGCCGTGTGTGAAATGTCCAGTTTCCCCACACCGGTGCCAGACTCGGTATGAATATATAAATTCCTAGCATTCTTAATCATAATGAGAAGTGATTTACTTTTCTGATGTTTATTAGAAAATGTTCATTTGTGAAACTTAAAGCTTATTCCTGGCCATTGCTTGGTATACATCAGGACCACTTGTCCCATGTCACCAAAGTCTTGGTGTGACGTCTTAATATTTTACTAAAAGAAAGAAAACCCCATGTGAGAGCAATGAAGATTGCAAGGCAAGTTTCTGTTGTTTGTCCTTAACTTCTTGGTAGAAATCAATGACCATCTGATTTTCATACTATACACACACACACATATACATATATATATTCACATTTTCTTCATTTTGCACATTTTTCACCTCAGTGGTAGCCCCGTGGACCTCCCACCACCTCCCCCTGTACCATCACTGTAGTCCCGTCCCGTGCGCTCTTTCCACCCTTGTTTTGTTCCTGTTCCCCTTTCTGCCCCGTAGAATGTCTCTGGCTTATAGTTGTTGGTTGATTTTCGTTTTTACTTATTACAATGACTTTTTTTCCTGATCATTTACTCTTCTGCAATGACTGAAACCATCCAGTATTATTCTTTTTCTTTCTGGTTTATTTCACTATGCATGGTCTCTTCCAGCTCCATCCATCCATCTTTCTAAAGCTCTGGCTCATTCATTACAGCTGCCCTGGGCAGGTGGGGTGGGATGACCGACCACCCAGGCTGAAGGCAGCTGGCACATTGCTCTCCAGATCAGAGCAAACCCTTAGTGGAAGTGGCTTAGAGAACAGAAGGGCACTGGGCTCCCGTGGGGAAGATTCCAGGGCAAGGCACATGTAGGAAGAGCTCATTTTCTAGTCTCACCTCTAGAAGGGGTTCTGTGCTGGGCCATTGGTGGCTAATATGTGGAAAATTGGATCAATAGTGTCTACTTGAGGGTGAGGTGAGACTAAGCTTTGGGATGAGTGAGCTGCTCATAACTGGGCAGCTTCTCATCTCTGTGGGAGGTAAATGTCAAGGTGAGGGAATGTAGGAAAGATCTGTCCAGGCTGTAAAGTGCTGCTCTTCTCAGTAGTCCTTTCAAAGAGAATCTCAGGCAGAGAAAGGAGGCAGTGGGAAAGGAAGATGAGGCAGACTAATAGGATACTCATCAGCTATGAAAATTGAAGTCTTGTCAGTCGTGACAACAGGGACAGAACCTGCGGTGGTGGTGGGTGTGGTGTGGTGACATACATTTGAAGAGGTGTAAACCAGATGGTTTTTTAAACCAATGTTACCACAGGAAAAACAATTTAATATAATGAAAAAGTATCAAACAGACTTACTTCCACATGCCATGGGTTCACCCACTGACCTCATTTGAGAGGGAACTATGGGATTTGATCATCTGAGGAAATGCTCCGAGCCACCCTCCATTTCCTGTCTGTGAGGAGGTACCACCTTTCCTTGAGTATAAGATCATGTACTAGCATGTTTTGATTTTGACCCATATTTATGAGCATCACACACACACAATTCCCAGGGCCCCAGTGCAAACCAGGGTTTTACCACCCACTCAGGTTTGTTTTAGCTTTGACCTGACCCCTACCCCTGAGCAGATGGTGAGCTAAGCTTCCTATTTGTTTTGTTTCTGTCTGTTCATGCAAACATGACCAATTTTTTTTTTTCTTTAAGATCACAGAATAAGAAAGAAACTGGGAAATCTAGATGAAATGTAATTTTAGGGAACTTGTCTGCTTGTATTAATGAATCAAATGCATGTATGAAATACTTGTGCTTTCTATGAAAGGAACAGCCCAGCAAATCAATAGACTCTGGGTGGCAAGGAAGCATTACAAGACAAGGTGATTTCTGTTTCTCTATTATCCACTGAATCACCACGGTTTCTAATCTTCTGGGCAATATCTGCTTGAGCAGCTTAGTTCTGTGCTTTTGTGAAAGTCAGTATCTGGTGAATTAAGAGACCCATTGCTCCCCACTCAAGCCTCATTGAACACATATATTCAATCACAAGAAAACAAATAAAATTTTAATGTTCATTACATAGAAATCTACATTTAAGAGAACTTAAATTTTGCCTTCTCGGGTTGGGTTTCTCTGGTCGTTTTTCATATAAGACCAAATTTCTGAGGAATATTTTTCCTTTTGTTCTTAAGTCATGAGTTCTTCATATGTACTGTCATTTGCTGCTTTCTGAGACATATTGGATAGAGCACAGTAGCTGTGAGGCAAGAAAATGACACTCTAGAAGAAACAGAGTAAGTTAGCTATTTAAACTTGGTTCGTTCAAATTCAGTATATACATTTATCTTGATGTCATTCCTGCTAAATGTTATACATAGAACTCTTAGCTTTTCCAAGATAATCAAAATATGCCATTACATTTTTTAAATCAGGCCCTCCCTGGTGGCGCAATGGGTTAAAACGCAACACTAAGAAACTAAAGCCACTTCAGCATGAGTTTGATCCCCACCCGGAGGTGACCACATGGCACATGGCGCAGCAGACCTCTCCTGACCCGCCCGCTGCTCCCCTCAGCAGTGTACTTCCTCCATTTGCTTGTTCTGCTCCCGGCTCTGTCTCTGGTGAATCCTCTCACCACCCCTGCACCTCTGGCCTGTACCCCATTTCTGTAGGCACAAATAAATAAATCTTTTTTACAATTTCTTTAAATCATTGCTATGCATCAGTTTTGTATTCATCCCACTGTCTACAATGAAATTTTGGATCGATAAAGCATTTTATTCCCTTCTGACACCCTGAGCTCATGGTGGTAAAGGGTGGTGTCCCATGGAGTTTGACTCAACAATTGCTTTTATATGTTTTGAGCAGAAAAGTAATGTTAAGATCATTGGATGGGAAGATTAGCGCTTTGACATTTACTGGGCCCAGTTCTTCATAGAGGAACTGGGGTGTAGGCAAGAGATGTGGAGGATCAGAGGATTCACCAGGTACAGAGCAGGGAGCAGAACAGGCAGATCCACTGAAATACACTGTTGAGGGAGGCAGTGGGGAGACAGGAGAGGTCTGCTGCAGCTTATGGGAGCTCCTGGCCAGCAGTCAAACTCAGGCCAATAGCGCTGAGACTTGACCCCCAGGGAGGCCCAGCTAGCAGCTAGAGCCTAGAGACTGCCGAGCTAGAAGCTATGGCAGAAAGCATGCTCTCCTGGAACAGAGGATGGACACAGACTTAAACCAGTATATGATGCTGGGCAACCGTTTACTTATCTTCCCGGGTTTCTGCATTTACACGCAGGAAAATTAAACTGTTGACTCCCAGACTCAACTATTTTCACACCCAGTGAATTGTCAGCTGACCAGCTTTTCAGCTGAGTCTGCTTTCCTCATCTGTCTTCTATTCCCATCAGCCCACCTCCTGTGTGGACGATAACCCAGGACTGATGGTCCTTTCCGCCTCTCTTGCTTATATAGCTCAACACAGCTCAGGAATTGAGGGACATACACTCACCCCAGGGAAATTAGAGGGATGCTGTTTCCACCAAATCACAGCAGCAAGCACAGCCAGGAAGAACTCCAGCAGAGTACAAATCAGAATCATCGACAGGACTCCCTGAAGTGTAGGAAATTTGAGGTCAGTCTAAGGCAACCTAAGTCTTCAGGGTGGGGGTGGAATGGTGACTGTAGAGATGAAGCCCACTTCAACCATCAGAGAATGAAACAAAGACAGTCAGGAAGGAGACCTCGTCACTTCCAAACCTAGTGATCACTCAATTCAATTTATTTGCTCATTTATTTCCTTGAGAGGAAAAGGAATGAGCAATAAGGAAGCCAACTGACTCATTTTGCGCAAGTGTTTCTTGCCTCTGGACACATGGCTAAGTGATTCCATCACTGGCTCAGGGAGGGCAGGGCAGTGTAATAACACCCAGGGCTGAGGAAGCACAGCTCCCATGCCAGCCTCGCCATGCTGCCTGGCCTCTGTGGGCACTCCGCCTCCGCTCACCTCTCTAGCTTCTGTTTCCGCGTTTATCCAATAAGCCATGTTTCCTTTTCGGAGATTTGGGAGGATCAATCAAGATCAATCACTGTGCAAGTTCCCTTTAAAATTCAATCCTGAGGTTGCGAGAGGGCAAGGGCGGGAAGAAATGGGGGAAGAGGCCCCATGTCTATGGTTAAGGGAAATGAGTGCTGTGGTGGTGGGTGGGGGTGGTGACGTGCATTGAGAGGGTGTGAGCCCGTCCCCCCACTCATAATCAGTGCTTTATGCCAATGCTACCTCAATGAAAATGAGAGAATTAATTTTATAACAATAAAATGACATAATCATTTCATCTAGTTATTTTTAAAATAATAAACATTTTATAATAACAAAATTTTATAGTAATAAACTTTCATGATCATATGATAGTCATCAAGTCATCAAGAGATTTATATGAAAAGATTAAGAACACAAAGCCTTTCTTAACTCACTACTCCACATAGTTTTTTGGTTGGATAAATTCATATTTTATACCTCTGGCAATAGAATCACTTTGATTACTAAAAATCTCTTTCCACCCTAAGGTCTGGTTTTTCATGATCAGCCTCAATTCATCTTTCCTCATCCATCCCCACCCCCACGTCCCCCCAGCCTTGCCCCTTTATCTCAGTACACTCTGCCCTCTAGTTGACACAGCCCTGGTCTTCTCCCACATGCCTAAGCCAGCAAAAATGAGGTTTTCAAAAAGAGGGCTACAGGGCAGAAGCTGCGCTCCCAGAAACCTGGGAAGCACGGGCATCCCTCCACAAACGCTTACGGTCAGCACAGCGTGGCCCATCGGGCAGTCGGCGTGGTCAAACATGTTAGTGTGATAATAAAAAGGATGCTCTTCGTGCTCGCTACTGTTTGCATCCAAATCACACCCCCTGAAGGTGGGACTCAAATCAGTCAGGTTGACAGAGAGGAGAGCCAAGCCCACGAGAGCAGACAGCAAGCTCAGAATGTTTGCAGCCAGGCAGCACTGCACCTGAAAGAAAATATCGCCCAGACGTCACTCAGAGGCAACACACTCCTCTTGGCCAGCGCAATGCAAAACATCATTCCCTTAAGTGTCTCCTTCCGGAGGTCCAGGATCTCTATGCCCTCTTTCTCTTCTCTCTGCCCCCCAGTGTTCTAGCAACATCTTGGAGCTAGAAGGTAAACCTTGGTGGAGTGAACGAACAGGCGCTACGTCCCCTGTAGAGTGTGGCAGAGAACATGGGTCTCCTGAACGCTTCACTCTGGCCTGAGAGGGGGGCCCCCTCGCACCACACCTACCATACCCCCAAGACAGTGTGATCGAAGCCGGGTGTTTTCTTTCTTCTCACTCAGAAAGTCCTTGAGAAAGCATCAACCCCACAGCGGCACAGGTGAGGCAAACCCTGCCTCCCTGGACAGGTTCTGTCTCAGAAGCTCACACATTCAGGCCAGAGTGATCTTGAAGCCTCCCCTCCCATGTGTCATTTTAATTCATTATTTTATGGGGTGTTTCTCATACTCACCAAGGTTTTTGTTGATTTTTTCTCTGCGACAATTGATAAAGATCCAGAGATGATGAACTACCCAGAAGAGAGAAAAAATGGTCAGGCTGGGTTCTGTGCAGATGTGGTTACGATGCTGTCAGTAAGGTGCAGATGGAAAACTCCCCTGGGGAGCACCGGGGGACCAGCCAGTGGCCAGTACAAGACCCAGATAAAATGGCCAGATTCTCTTTGCTCCAACAGCATTCAAAAGAGCACAGGAAAAGGCAAGGTATGAGTAAAATCTATTCCAAAAGACAAATGAGATTTTTAAAAGACAGGAAAGAAGGTTGTTTTTTTTTTTTTTAATTACAGAAGAAAGCGCTGGGGTCAGACTTTCTCCAGAGAAGAGCATAGAAGGAATGGAGTAGAAAAGAGAAAAGCTTGGGGGAAGGAACCAGGTGGCACACATTTCCAGTTGGGTGCTCCCTGGCTAGTGTAGAATGATACTCAAGAGCAGAGAAAGGCTGAGTTGTGCTGGCAGAAAATCTGCTAGGGAGCATTCAGAAAGTTCCAGAAGTTATTTCTACTTTCTAGAGTTTTAATTATCTGACAGATTTGGGAGTGCTCAGTACAAAATCCTTTGGTAATGGAAATGGAACAAAGCAGGTAGAAAAATGATAGCTCCAGAGGTCCCAATGTTAGGTGATTTTAGGTCGGACTCAATACATGCTGGATTTTAAACACGGGGCAAGATGCCTCTAAGTCTGGGCTACCCTTAGTGACTGGCTTGCAAAGAGGAGAGTGTGGAAAAGAGGACAGAGAAAACACTTTCTAGTGATGAAACTTGGCCAACGCGTGGGTCGCCTGATCAAGGCTGATTCCATCCTCCACATCATGTTGATAGCCCAGGCCCTTGATACCAGGGGCTGATAATGATACAGAGTGTCTGGCATGTGACACTCTGTATAAAATTGAGAAAAATATCAGACGAACCAAAATTTAGGGTGATCCGAGAAAGCCTAGAGGAGCTGAAGAAGCTTTGTAATGAAGAGGAATGCAGTATCTTTGAAGGGACCGAAAAATGATTTTTGGAAATTCAAATGAAAGTTTGACTTCAGTGAATAAAAAAAGAGAAATGGACCAGATAAAGGCAAAGGTGGGCTTCAGAATGGATCAGGGAAAGCAACAGGGGCAGAGAGGCAGCTGCCGGTGGGAAATCTATGGAGAATGTTCCTGTGAGAAAGACTCGTCCTCAGCAGTGGGACAGAAAGCTGTTCTCTGAGAAAAGGACCCTAAAGTCCCAGGTGTCTCCCCATGAAGCTGTTTCAGGGGCACTTCCAGGCCATCACTAAAGCAGAGGCATTTGCTCAGCATGCCCTGAGGGGTGCTACATGCAGCAAAAAGCACTTCAGAGTGCTCAGAGAGAAAGTTTTCCTTCCTTCACGGCTCCCACCAGCATCAATGTTATCCTTCACTGACGCTAGTGCTATGGTATGGAAAACACCTTCCCAACTTCATTTACATCTTGGATTTTTGCCTAAACCTGGAGAGAAATCACAAGGCCTATCAAAGGTCGAGAGGATGAGGTGAAGGGTAAGGTGATCCTCAAAAGAAAGGACTGAGTCTGTGAGGAAATACTACTCGGCAACCGGAAAAGATAACTCAAGCCATTCACAACAGCAGGGAAGGAGCTGAGAGAGATGGCACTAAGCGGAATAAGCCAGAGGAGAAAGATAAATAGCAGATGGGGTCACTTACAGGTGGGACAGAGAAAAACCAAGCAACGGGTGAGACGAGGACAAATATTAAAGCCCTTGCAAGCTGGCTCAGATCTGAGGCTTCGGGTGGAGGACACGGGGTGCCCTGGCCATGGGAGTGATTGGTGACTACATCTGGGGGAGGGGGGCGATCGTGTACTGTCAAAACACTAACAAGGCCCATACAAGTTCAAAATATAAAAATTAAAAGATAGAGTCCTGTTGTAAAGAGGAGAAAAGAGACAGCAGGCAATTTCTACCCTCCCGTCACACTTCAGTCCTCCCTGGACCGCAGACCCAGGGAAACAAGTTCTACCATGAGTCCTCACTTCCGGCAGACAGACAGGTAGCCAGGTGACAGGTGAGGAGCCCGACCGGCATCTTCCTCCCGCCCCACCCATCTGGGTTCCGAAGCATCTGTACTCACACACAGGGCTCCTATGAACGGGTAGGCTGCCTTCAACAGGATGGAGAACACTTTGGTAAAATGTGGTGACAGAGAAGCAGATGTCAAGATGATTCCCAAGAACAATACCATCACGCCGCACAGGATCTGGATGGTCTGTTGGAAGAAGGGGGTGAGTGTGGCACCAGCGTCTGTAGACACAGGACCTCGTCACCTCTCCTGTGTGGCTCATGCATTTCCACCTCCTGCAGGATTCCAGGAGGACACCGTCATCGATCTGCTAATTCTCCTCTTATCATCTCTGGAACAGGGACGTCTTTTGCGCATTGGCTGTATGGAACCCTCTGAACAGCCCAGACCCTACAGAAGACAACATAGAGCTTGACACCCCCCAGAAGTTCCTGGTCTTGTCAGTCATTGCTCCAACAGTGGAGGATCCAGAGGGGCCACCTTCCCCTTCTGGACATCCATGTTGGCCATTCAAAGCTCTAGGAACACTGGCCAAGCTATTTTCTAAATCACCTGTCACGGGAATAACTCATGTGATTGTATGTTTGAGCAAAGTCCTACTGCATTCTGAAACCTGGTCACACAGTCTCATAGGTCATACTACAGCAGAGAAAATGCTGTATCGTAGAGTTTGACATTTTCCTCCCAGCCCTAGAAATGTCCTTCCTCCCCATCTCCCTTCAATATGTTCGTTAATCAATCATACATCAGAAGAAAAGAAGCCATCGAAAGGTAAACATCACTTCTGTTCTCAAAAGGGGAGAAAAAGAGGGAGCAGAAAATTAATTTTTCCTGTAATTCCCAGTAAAGGAAATTTTGCCTTCAAAAACTTATTATTCAGCCCACAATTGGTGAACTCTTAGTAAGAAATAGAGTATGTAATTATTTACCATTGCTGCTTTTGTAAAAAAGACATAGATGTATAGCTTTTTTGAATGCCAATGATACCTTCAGAAAGTGGTTTTTT